TAACATCATAGACTGCAGACTTATTATCCAACTTATACTCTCAGTACATAATAAAACAATTTTCTATTGACAGTCTTTGGTTGTAGCAAAACACAAGTAAGTTTAGAATAACAATCATTCTCTTATCTTTTCTCAAATGATAAATACTTTTGCTTTTAAAATGACTTATTTACAGTAGCACCATATAATATTAATTGTGTTAATGATCTTTCTATTTTAACTAATTGTAATAATGACATTTTGAGTACAAATGATATATTTTTATTAAAATTATTTAAAAATTGTATATGAAGCTATGTTTATTTGAGCAAAATATTGATTTTTTTTGTATGTATATTTCATTGACACAGGTAAAGTAGGTTTAAAATGGACATAAATTACTCAGAACATTTTAATTCAGTTTTTCATTCAAAGATTTGGAGACTTCCTTTTAGCCTTTAACATGGAAATGTAAAGATTCTTAGGATAACTGGGTCAGTTACACATGATGTTATGAGGAAGTTGACTTGTTTATACTCGTTTAACTTACCTCACTCTTCCTATATAGGGCCTCGTCTCAGAGCTTTGTCACTTTCACAAAAAACTTCCTTCATTGACTCTGACAATTATATTTAGGCTTAATTTTGCAACTACATAAACTCATCCTGTAGTGGTAGGCCCTGAATTGTGGGTTCTTAAATTTGGTTCATGTGATTTTATTTACTTTGTTTTTAGTAGTTGGTATGAAATTGACAATAGAGAATAAGTTAGTACGCACTTGCATTCTCTTTTCCATATGCTAGCTTTCTGTTGATGTTTAAAGACTTTAGCCTGATAAATTGAAAGTAAAAAACCATTTCTGTAGTAAACATGTTAGAAAGTTACAGCTTATATTTCCTTATAAGTGAAAATAGAAAGTTTCCATGCTGAAAAATTGCCATGAATCAGATATTGCAAATTTGTAGTTTCTCCCTATTAAGCGAGCCAGAAATTAAATATACATGAACATTATAGTCTCACTATCTATTTCAAAGAGAGAAGAATAAAGAATAATTATCCTGAAAGGTATGTTAGAAAATGCATGATGTATCTCATATAATCTGGCTTAAATTTCAAGATAGCCAGGAATATGAATATTTTAAAATTAAATTTGTAATGCTTTCCATGTAATGTCTAAAAATCTACTATGCCAAGGACTTACATAATATACTAAACCACATTGTTTCATGTGTTGATGTAATGTTACATACTAATGGTTTTTTTTTTTTTTTTTTTGCAAAGTTTTAGTTGTTTCTCTAATGACATTTTAAGCACTTAATGTAATATTTTCCTAAACGACTACTCGTCTCCATTTTCTCATTTTAGTATTTCAGTAGATCGCAGGAAGAAAATTTGAGTATTATTACAAGGAAACTCTGTTTATGTGACTTTTTAACTGATAATATTATGTATAGTACCAAAAACAAATACCGGAAAAAAGTTGTACACTTGACGCTATTTTCATCGTTACATAATATTAATAGCGTCCAGCCTGGGCTATAGGGCAAGACTCAATATAAAAAAAATAGTCAAAATATTTTAGGCACTGTTTTTGGGTCTTTAAATCACAGACTATGAGAAGATTATATTGTCTTAGTCTCCAGACTATTAACAGTGCCTAACAAACACTCAGCATATGTTAGAGGAAGGTTGCCAAAATCAATTTGTTTGCCAAGCCCCATCAGTATAGATATTGCAATCAGGTCTTCAACATATATATATTTTAAACTTAAAACCTATAGAGCACTATGAAACTATTAAATTATATACAGTATGAAACATAAACAAAAAGACATGGAAAATGAAGATAAAATCAACATAAATGAACTAGGTTTTGCTGACTTTGCTTAGTAGATGACTATGCTAGATTAATAAGACCAGACAGGTCTTCCTGTACACATGTCGTCTAAATCCCCACTTAGCCCAGTGACAGATCTTCCAGAAAACTGTAAATAAATAAGTACAATTCCCTTTGCACTTCAAAAACCAGTCATTCTATTTCATTCTATTTCTGCGTGTCTAGAAATTCTATGAGGACTCAGAGTTTCCTCTCACTCACAATATTTTACCTTCATTACCTCAACATACTTCTCTAAATCTTGGTACCCATTCCACACAAAAGGGATCTAATAATTAACCAACTATATAATGTTATATTCCAAGCAAGGCACTGTCAATAATTCATAAGTACACTAGAATAACAGGCATAACAATACTTTTTTACTGGGAAAATAATGTCTTATTTTTATCCCAGGAATAATGGTTATTATGAGGTATAAATAAAATAACCACCCTCCCAACTGCATATCACCTGATAGCCTTTGTTTATACAAAAGTTACCTATACATAATTGCTTAAAGTTCCTACTAATTAGTATAGCACTGTCTTTATCTCACTCAAATGTTTCTCAATAGAAACATTTGGTTTTGTCATTTTATAAATATTTTCATCTTTTTGAACTTTTTAGAAAAATAATTTATTTTTAATTGACATGATTGTATATATTTATTATGTACAACAAAGTTCTGACACACAATTGCATCACATACTTATCATTTTGTGGTAAGAACAGTCAAAATCCACGGTCTTAGTAATCTTGAAGAATACATGACAGTGGAATTGACTATATTCGCCCTTTTTTACAATAGATCCCTTGAACTTAAAATCTTTCACATAATAACAAAAAACATTTTGAAAATAATTGAATTAAATAGGTCTTTTAATTCCTTGGCTTTTTGAAAAGTGCTAAACAAGAATTTGTGCAGAGCAGAATTGTGGAACATTAAAACAAAAAATTTCAAAAACACACCACAATAAAATTGCTAGTAGGGACCAGTTTAGTGAATAATTGCAAGGGAAACAATTCAGTGCTTGAGAAAATGAAGATTATTATTATTATTATTTTTTACTAAGTCAATTAAATGACACTATAGAAACAAAAGAACTACTTTGTTTTTTCACTTTTATTTATGCTTCAGGTGTAACAGCGTTACATATAATTTTATTAGGCCACGTTAATGGTATCTGACACTGTTTAGTGCATAATCATTGTACTTTGTAATGTTAACTGCATAACTTCTTGGGATGAGACGTATATCAGGTCAGAAGACAAGACTTGGTTGTATTCAACCCACTAAACTGAAATTAATGGGTTTTGAGTTATCAAGTATTAGAATATATTTAATTTAATTAATTTAAGTTTAAATTGAGTTCATTTCTCAGCAAAATTTTTAAGAGTATAGTTAATTAGCTAAGGTCCAAATTTGCCAGTTGATTCTAATTTGATGAGGGATTTCTTCCAGGCTCTTAATTGCTATATTTGCTTTTGAAAAATTCAAAGTCTGAAGAAAGCCGCTAGCCAATTCAATAAATGGTTTACAGAGAAAATATGTATTAACGAGAAATATTATTGGAACTCTGTGTGTTATTTTTTAAAAAATAAAAATTGTGTGTGATAATAGAACTGTAGTTATGTTTTTCAGATATCACTGGAAGTTCAGTAGGAAAAAGTCTCTGCTTATTGAAAAAGAAGACATTGTATTGAATAAAAGTGTTACAAAATAGGAACATAATTCTTTATCAGAGTGGGAAATTTAAAGGATACCTTATCATTTCAATTCATAATATGCAACTACTATCAAAAATATCTTGCCTATGTAAAAGTTCTTCCTGAAAGATACATGGCAGAAAGCCATTTTAAACAGTCTCTGCTGACATTTAGGGAAAATAGTGCTCTACTAAACAAAGTAGTACATCTAGCTGTTTCAGTGTATTGTCTAAATTATCATAGTAAGACTAGAAAACTTTACAATTCTTTCCATGAAAATAAATATGTACCTTTACATTTACATTTATCCAGAAATCCTGTTCATATTTCTATGGGGAAATTTTGGATGAAGAACAATTTCCTTATTTGGATTATGTGAATTTGAAGTGAACTATGATGAATTTATTAATTACAAGCAATTTCTCAAGAAAATAAATCTTAAAATGAAGTATTGCCTTATTCTGATATATTCATTATTATTAAAATTTTAGGTTTGGAACTGTGGCTCACGCCTGTAATCCTAGCTCTTTGGGAAGCTATGGCGGGTGGATCACCTGAGTCAAGAGTTCAAGACCATTCTTGCCCACATGGCGAAATTCCATCTCTATTAAAAATACAAAAATTAGTCAGGCATGGTGGTGTGTGCCTGTAGTCCCAGCTACTTAGGAGGCTGAGGTAGAGAATTGCTTGAACCTGGGAGGCAGAGGTTTCAGTGAGCTGAGATCCTGCCACTGCACTTGAGCCTGGGCGACAGAGAGATTCCATCTCAAAAAAAAAAAACAAAACAAATTAGAGTAACGGACCTGATGTCAAAGGCATCTGAGTTATTAAAGATTGGAGAATTTGAAATTATTGTTCAAATGCAATGAGCTTGTGTAAATTATTAGGTTCAAAGTTAAATAATTTTGTATTTAAGTATCATTATTTTATTTGTAAATACTTTCAAAACCCTTCTAATATAAATCTATATATTATAGTGGTTGCTATTCTGAAATTTTAGTGAATTTTCCCCTGGTATATAATTTGCAATAATAATCTAAAAATACATTAATTGGCTCCTTAGCTATTTAAATTAAGATATGAAAGATAGTATATAATAATGATTAAGATTTTTAATTCTTAATTCGGACAATCTTTTTCTTTTCCAGAAAATCTTAAAATCTAATTCCAACAATTTAGTATCTGTGTAAACTGAGGCAAGTTTCTTAACCTTTCTGAATTTAAGTTTCTTTATCAGTAAAATGGGGCTAATGATAATGCCCAACCCAAATCGTTGCTTTGAGAATTTAAAGAAAAAAAAATGTACACTTAGCCTAGTGTCTGACATAAAGAATTCTCATTATCTTTATGATGCTCAATTTCTTTCCTTCTTCTTTTTTTTTTTTTTTCTCTTCCTTGAGATGGAGTCTCACACTGTCACCCAGGCTGGAGAGCACTGGCGCAATCTCGGCTCACTGCAACCTCCGTCTCCTGGGTTCAAATGATTCTCCTGCCTCAGCCATGATGCTCAATTTCTAATACTGTAAGTGGTGTTCTAGGTTCTTCTTTCATTCCTTCCTTGCTTTCTGGTAGGATTTCACCTTTGCTATCATCAGATGACTCCACATGTTTTTTATTCTGATACATCTCTAAGCAGTCAGCTGTCCTGTGATTGTTTAAAGTTGCGTTGAAAACAACTAGTCTTTTTGGTTCATGGGGTGAAGAGCTATGAAGAGACACACTTAGACATAATGCCAAGGACCATGCCTTTCTTAGAGATCCTGAACTTTGAGCTGGATACAGTGACTGGACGGGAATTGAGGTTCTGTGTCTCAGGAAGAGGCTGGTTGCATTCTTTACACGGGAGAAATTCGAGACATTTCTGATACTTGGTGGCCAAAAAAGAGGAATGTGGCAGAGAATGATGACTTGTTTACTATGCCTATTGCCTTTTCTGTCTCATAGCCTCTCTTATAGATGGGAGTGGCCATGGACAGAATTTTGGCCCTTTCAATCTGGGTTAAGTTATTCTTAGGCTGGACACTTCCAAGTCTGACCCATAAATAATCTCTCTCTCTTCCCACACACTGACTGAACCTGTGAGTTCAGTGGGTATTAGAATCACTATTTGGAATGAAGTAGGTCAGCAAGTCACCACACACAAAGAGTCTTCCAGAACAACTGTCTAATCTGTAGCATATATGTTGGGTGACTTTATTGTGTTAATCACTGACATCTTGGGGTTGTTTGTTACAGCATTGTAACTAATACACATTCCAAATAGGGCAACATTTACTCTGTGGTCTATAAAATGAGAAGAATTATTCAAAAGATATATAAATAACATGTGTAGAAGCAGAATATATAGTTTAAGACAGAGGGAGTAGCAAGTATAGTAGGCAAGAGGAGAGAGATAGAAAGAGATAGAGAATGGAGGGGGAGAGAGAGAGAGAGATGACCTATTTCAGCAACTGCAATAAGCAGTCTCTCTATACCCATATTAAACTCCTTCCTACTTTCCTCTCGTTTACTGGAATCCAACCACCACTAGCACTCTCAGTTCCCCAAAGAAACCAATCTGTTTTCTGTTGCAGGACCTTCTCAAATGTTGTCTCTCCTGCCAGAAATCTCTTCTCCTGAATGTTTGACTAACTCCTATTTACCTTATGTATCTTTAGAAAAATTTTTTCTGAAAATACAATAAAATTAGACCCTTGTTCTTAAATTCTTTCATAGTATCTTGTTATTTTCTTAAGTCATCACAATTTGTATTCATTAAATACTATGTATATTAAATTTTAATATATCTGTCTACTCTATCATGCATTAAACTGAATGAAGGTTTATTTATCATTGAAAAATACTTGGAACATAACACGTACAGAAATATTTAGTGAATGGATTTATATAACATGAAAATAGAAAGTAAATAAGGGAGAGTTTTTATAACTTGTTTGTTAGCACTTTATCTTGTGGACAATTGAGTGTTCTGAGTGGTTTTAAGCGATGGGTTGATATCATCCAATTTGCCTTTCAGAAAGATTACTTCATTTGGAAAAGGATTGAGCAAGGTAGAGTAGTGTGGTGTTAGGCAAGTGTAGGGACAATTGTCTCTGTAATTTATGAGATAGATAAAGATAGTATTAATCAAAGAAGTATGAGTGAGACTCAAAAGCAAAGCATGGGACTGAAAGATGCTATGAATGCTAGCCAAATGGAGAAGACAGTACAAGCTACTGATGAAACAAGTGTTTGGGAGAAACACCCAACATTATTCTTGGTTACTTATAAGCTATGTAAATTTCATCAACTAGCTTAAATTTTCTGTAGTCTCAGTTTTGTCATCCAAATAAATATGTGTTTTCTTTGTCAGTTTTCAAATGCCAGCAGTCAATGAATGAATAAAATTATCAGCAATACTATAGCTTCTTTGATTGAATCAATGAGTGGGGGAGTTCAAAGCCTCAAACCCCTAAAGTTCTGTTCTTGTCACTTTTCCTGAGAGCTCACATTGATATCTGAGGAACTTTTGGAATTTGAGGGCCAAAATGTAAAAATAATTGTACTCCTGGAGATCTACATTTGGATTACATGGATATATCTCAAATTGAACTGTTAATCATATTTCAAATCAGTTTTTCTCTAAGACTGTGCTTTTTCAGTTATCCTATTAATTTTTTATGCTTCATTGATCCACTATTTACTAATTGCTCCTAAATCTACTATCTCCTTCTTATATATTTTGTGTATGGTGTAGCCATCACCATTAAGATGGCCCACTAGGCTGTCATACTTAGTAAGCCCCAAATTAAACTCCACATATAATCTCCATCTGCAAACCTTTTCCCCATCTTATATTCCCTCACCTGAATGATTTCCATTAACAACTCTCCAGCTCCCTCTTTGAAAAACTCAAGAAAGTCTTAGACTTCTTTATCTCTTTTTATATCTCTTTTATTTATATTTAAGAGGTAAGACCAAACCTTATTCTCACAAAACTATCTAGATAGTAGTTATAATGATTCAACTAATCAATTAAGTAATATTTAATGCTGCAAAAATATATTAAACCAATCAAGTAAAATAATTTATAAGAAGATAGGAAGACAAGAAGTTTCTTGTAAATCCATTTTAAAGACTAACAAAAGAACGACAAGAAAAATCAATCAATCAATAAGACCAAAGATAAATGAAAGCCTGAGAGAACGTTAAGCTACAAAAGTCTGGAGAAGAGAGAGCAGTCAATTCTGTAAAATATTGCAGACAATGAGGCAGACAAGGACTGAAAGGGAAACACTAATTTAGTAACAAAGAGGAGGTAGAATTTACTAGTGAGAGAAGTTGCTAGAGTCCTGGGCATAGAACTCAGGTTTCATTGGGTTGAAAGGCAAGCAGGAGGTGAGAAATGATAGGCATTGATACCTCTCAGGAGTCTTGGCCACAGAAGTGAGGGTGACAAGTCACCGTATTTCCGAGCCTCACTTTTCTCATCTGTTCAATTGTTGTGATAAATACCTTGTGTTCTGCACAGAGATTTTTGTAGGTTGGGAGGAAAGTGTGGGTGGCACTAGACACTTTTCAAATCACTCTTAAATCCTTGAAAATAAGTAAAATTTCTATGTGAAGTAACCAACACCTCATAATTGTCAGTTACTTATGTTATAATATCTATTTTATATTTTAAAAACAGTGGTCTCCTTGAAGCCAGGGTATCTCTTATTCATTTTTGCATCTCCAGTCCCTAACATAGTACCCAGTACATAGTAATGACATAGTAAATATTGCTTTGTGTCCCCTAAACTGAATTTTGGCATGTAACTTAAATTCTATGCAAGTAAGGGTAAGTGGTTTTAATTCCAAAAAAGATACAGAAGAAATAGAAAAATAAAAAAAATAGAAGATATAAAAGTTGATGCCATTCAAAAAACAATCCAGCATGTCTTTTCCTTTTTTCTCCTTTCCACAGATAGAGGCTTAGTAGTTCACTAAACCCAAAACTAGTATATGATCTGTCTAGTTTTTAGTTAATTAACATTTACTTTGTGTAAAGGTATCTACAGGAAGACACTGTTAGACAGTTTCCTCAGTCTACAAACCAATGATTACATCTAATGAACAAAATACAGTGGTAGTTGTTTAAAGAAATATTCTAAAAACCCAGAATGATATTAGCACACTACTTGCTATATGAAGAATGAGATTAAAAACTCAGAACTAACCCGCTTCTATGTAACAGCTCTAATGGAACAGAGTATAAAAAGTAATCAAATTTGGAACATATGCAAAATCCTTAGAGTTCACTGGTTTCAGACATAATAATACATGCCAAGTTATATTAATGAGAGATTAAGTATTGTGTACTTGGATTCTTTAAATTATCCTTTGCTTAATTTAGTTTATGTTTGAGTTCCATTCCCCTGCTCATATAATTTCCCTTGTGCTATGTGGAACAGAATGGCCCAGGTAGATAGTATTTTATCCATCGGTAATATCGCATTAATCCAAATGAAACCCATTTAATCCCTAGGGTAGTGAGTCAAGTTTAAGGGACCATTGTGCATTGCTCAAATTAAGAGAAATAAAGAAGAGAGGGACCATGGTACATAAAATTTGCTGAAGTCCTAAATGTTGATGGAAACAAAATACAAAATAATATTATTTTGAATCTGCACCAGCAGACCTGGCATGGCTCCTCAATTCACAAATGGAACTTAGGTTTTTGCAGTAGTCTGCACGGATTTTGTATTAAAATTGCGCTTCAACGTTTATAGAGAAGCATATGGAGTCAGAACAATTCCCCCCCTCAAAATAGGTGAAAGACATGTTTAGGCATAAAATGATGGGACACGTGTTCTACAAAGTTTAACAGAAAGTATGTGATTAACTTTTCACCAAGGCAATGGAATTTCAGTTTATATCTTTTATAAAAAGAGTCCAAAATATTCTAAGTATTTGTATTCAGTAACAGCTACTGGTGATGCTATACTTCAGTTTTCTTTGGCCATTTCTCTGTCCCTTTCTCATGGTTCTGGATACTAATAGTCCATAATTCTACTCCTCTTTGGAAGAACTGCCCTCCTTCAAATGGAGTCACTTTCCATACATTTGCAGAGAACTGGATGTGTCTGAGTTTTCATCTCTTCATTCAAGCTCACTTGCCTGACGATGGGACAATGGACAATGCTTAGGGATAATTTGCACTTCACAGATTCCTTGTAAGATTAGGTTACAAGGAATGATTCGCCTGAAGTCACTTTCTTGCTTGTTTTTCTTTTTCTTTCTTTATTCTGGTTCTCTTTATTTCTTACCAGTTTCTCCTGAAAACATTTCCTTAATTCGTAACTTTCATACAAATTATCTCAAACCCATTTCTGGGGAATCCAACATGAGGAAGATAATGTGCAAAAACACTTCTGCACAAAAATTAGTTTATTTTAGAATTGTCCAATAAATAATCTGTTTGCTGAGAGAAAACGTCTATATTCAGTGAATTCATTAAAAATACATTTATTGTATCTATGTGCCATATTTTCTTTATCCATT